TTCAAACTAATATCTACATTTTTTATAGATCACCATAAGACCACCACCATAGCCACAGTATAATGCTCACCGTATAATGCTCACCACAGTATAATGCTCATAATGCTATGTTGCTGGAAAATACAAATATTATCAAACTGATAATCATACCAAATGCACATTCACGACAAAGGGGCTTTTCGGACCCTATATGCAAGGAAGGTGAGACCCATAATTGAATATGCATCCCCAAGCATGGGAACCTTTCCTGAGAAAAGACAAGGAGAAACTAGAAAAGGTCCAAAAACATTCAACGAAACGAGTTCCTGAGCTGAAGGGATTGGGCTAAGAGGAAATACTAAGAGGTGACAACAGGACGTTAACACACTGGAGGAAATGAAAGATAGGAGGATATGATATCAAATAATAACATTCTAAGGGAAATTAACAAGGTAGAAAGGGCAGCATTATTAACAGGTAGGAAAAGCAGAGCAAGAGATCATAGATGGAAACTTGAGACGCAAATGATGTACTAAATTGTCCGAACCTAACCTAATCGAGGACCAACGAATAGAAAACGGGACATCACGTCAAATTTGCGAGCTGCCATAATTATTAGTTCATTGTCTGACGTTAGGGGATTTATACGTCAAAATGCGATGTACTATTCAAGGGGACAGGTTACACGCGCGCGCGCACACGCGCACACACACACACACACACACACACACACACACACACACACACACACACACACACACACACACACACGCACACACGCACGCACGCACGCACACACACACACACGCACGCGCACGCACGCACACACACACGCACACACACACACACACACACACACACGCACACACACACACACACACACACACACACACACACACACACACACACACCCACACACACACACACACACACACACACACACCCACCCACCCACCCCCCCCCCAGATCACTATATCCTCACACGATCGGCGACATATCGATTCTGTTCCACCTCCAAACTAAACGCGACACTAACCCAGGCCATACAGAGGAAGACTGACATTCACATAAGAATTTACAAGGTCATCCCACGTCTCCCAGCAGTGTACAATACTCTCATCAGCGTTACTCACGAGCGGCGGCCTGGACGAGCTGGATACACTAAGCAAAGGTTGATAACCGTCCCATCACCTTGATGGAAATAAAAGCGGAAACAAAACTGATAATGTGGGTAGCCACGAGAAAGAACAATTATCTCGTCATCCAAGTTAGAGCAAATTTGAGGGGTGTGTATACGAAATACAATGAACATATCTTTGTTTTCCCCCCTGTCATAGCTGGTAGGGAGAGCAGCGGGAGTGAGAAATTTAGGAGATGCTGTTTTGAGAAGAGGAACTTGGGAGAGAGGGTACTTAGGGGATGAGGAATTTGGGAGAGACGAAACGTGGGAGATTTAGGAATTAGGGAGAAAGAAATCGTGGCGGGGAAAGAGTGAGAATATATATAAAATGTAGAAAACGAAGCAAGAAAATGTAAAGATTAATGTGGAGGGGGAAGGAATGTAGAGTTACTGCAAAAGGGATTGATTACTGAGCGGAGGAGGGAGCGAGGGAAGGGGGCAAAGGGGAAACTGGGGAAAAAGGGGAGAGGGAGAGGAATGGGTGTCGGGAGACATCTGGGGAATGCCACAAAATATAATACAAATATATCAGTTTTAAATTAGATAGATTTGATAAAAAAAGGGACGAGCACCTCTGGCGAATGGGGGCTAGGAAAGAGCACCTCTTGTGAATGGGGGGCTAGGAAGAGCACCTCTTGTGAATGGGGGGCTAGGAAAGAGCACCTCTTGTGAATGGGGGGCTAGGAAAGAGCACCTCTGGCGAATGGGGGGACGGGGACTAGGAACGAGCACGTCCGGTGATAGGGAACATGTGATGGGAATCTACCTTTGTACGTTTTCATGTCCCAATACATATTCATGGTAATGCAATCGCCTAATTATACCACTGTGGCAGTGCCATAAAAGCCATTTCCTGCTCACACCCTCAGTCGTTCTCCTGATGCGGGCCATTGCCAGCTCCCTCTTGTGGTGGCACAAGCGAACAGTTTCCTTTGTCTCTTTCACATTCCTCATTTGTAAATAATTGTATGACGTTCACGATTCCATATTGTCTCAGGGGTCATACATCAAAATGTTATTATATTGGAGTATTTATATCATTAATTAACTGCTTATGCTTTCATATTTATTTGAATTGAAGATTTTGCGTTTCTCTTCAGCAAACATTTGTTGTTATTGCACTGAAAGTTTTACTCGCGTCATCTTATTCTCTATCACCGTAGTCTAATGCGCTCCATATTGCAACTGACGTTTTTTCAGTCATATTCTGTCCCCCATTCCCAGTGGCTTTCGAGCTCATTTATTTCCAACCAATTATGGATGCCAAAAAAGGAAAAACTAATCTCACTCTCAACTAATCCCCAACATTCCACTCACGCCACCACCAGGCAGATAGGTCCAGAAGCTATTCCTCCCAATTTCAAGCAAGCAAGTCTGCCAGCTTAACCCTCCCACAGGCAGGCAGGCTTGCAATCATACCCATCTCACTTCCAGGAAAGTAGGTCTGAAAAACTAGCTATCCCACTTACCCACTAACGAAGTATGGAAGCTTCCTCTCACGTTGCCAGACAGATTTGAGATTTCCACACCTACCCGCCCACATACAGGCGAGTAGGTGTGGAAGCTTTCCCTCCTGTTTTCAGGCTGGCAAGTCTGGGAGCTTTTTTCCCTGCCACCCTCTGGCAGGTAGGTCGATTCCCAGTGGGGACGGAAGCAGGTGGGCGGAGTTTCTTTTACCCTGATTCATCTGTTCATCTAGCAGTAGGTGGGCACCTGGGAGTTAAGACACCTGCTATGGGCTGCTTCCTGGAGATGTGTGTGTGTGTAAATGAGCGTGTGTTAGAGAGAAATGTATATGTAGCAGATATAACAGAGGAAAATAGATTGGGTAGAAAGGCGGGGTCCAAAAGCTAACAGCTCGATTCTGCAGACACAAATAGTAAATATACACACGCACACACACACGCGCGCACACACACACACACACACACACACACACACACACACACACACACACACACACACACACACACACACACACACACACACACACACACACACACACACACTCGCGCGCACACACACACACACACACACACACACACACACACACACACACACACACACACACACACACACACACACACACACACACACACACACACACTCGCGCACACACACACACACACACACACATGCACCTCACATGCACCTCACGACACTGGAAGACAGAAGAGTAAGGGGGACATGATCACAACCTACAAAATCCTCAGGGGAATCGACCGGGTAAACAAGGACGAACTTTTCAACACTGGTGGGACGCGAACAAGGGGACACAGGTGGAAGCTGAGTACCCAAATGAGCCACAGAGACGTTAGAAAGAACTTTTTCAGTGTCAGAGTAGTTAGCAATGGAATGCATTAGGAAGTGATGTGGTGGAGGCTGACTCCATTCACAGTTTCAAATGTAGATATGATAGAGCCCAATAGGCTCAGGAATCTGTACACCAGTTGATTGACGGTTGAGAGGCGGGACCAAAGAGCCAGAGCTCAACCCCCGCAAGCACAATTAGGTGAGTACAATTAGGTGAGTACACACGCACGCACGCACACACACACTCCTCTCTCCTAATATTACCAGTTCAGTCATCCCTATACTTCCCCAAACTTCGCCATCCAATCTTACACAGCCCTAGCCCTTCCCCAACACCTACACATCCTCCCCCACACCTATATACCCCCCTGCCAGTCCATACACCGCTACAGCCTCACTCCTGTGCCAGGTAACTCCACTACGGGCTTACCATAGCCTGTGCTACTTGGAACTTTTTGTTCCCTGCAGCTTTTAATCTATAACCACAACAACCATACATCAACATACCGTCAGCACACACTTCCCCAACACAACACGCTGATCTATCTAATTATATATAATCTTTCTTCCTTCTTCTAATTCTTGGCTTCTGCCCTACACAACCATGCCGGCTTTGGTTCAATGTTTCACTATTGGTATTTTCAATCCATCCGAAATGTGTTTTTATTCATTTTTTTGTTGTAAGTGTGCGCTGTTGTGTATGTTGGGAATGTGATGACTTGAGTGGAAAATGTACGTGAAAGTCTGGAGGAAAATAATATTTATTATCAGTAAAATTCGTGTTTAAGTTCTGTGAGAGTGCATATTAAATTTTACGATGCAGTTTACTTTAACTTCTGTGAAAATATTCGTTAGCTTTGAGATGTATTAATATGAAGAAAAAACCAGCAAATTAAGTTCCATGAAAGGTAAACGAGAACGTCTATAAAAAAATACACTAACTTTTGACAAAAATTGTCGAGTCTTCATACAATTTACATTTTGTCTTGGCTAAGATATTAATAGGCTTGCCATGTACACGCCAGCATTGATTAAACTCAATGTTGCTTCCAATATGTAAAGCTGATCTTATGGTTGCCATAGTTCTACACATGCCACATGTGTAGGTCTGTATGTCAGGACACATATGTAGTACTATATCTAAGTCCACTATGCCACACGCGTAGGCTAGTATATAAAACAAAAATCACAGCCAGATAAATTTTACATTCAAACATATCCATTTTTGTCTAATGAATCTGAATAAATGTTGTTCAGATATTATTTTTCAACTGCTTATCCATTTTTATAATTATAATCATAAGTAAATTAACGTCACCTCAGTTATAGACATAATTTTTCACTCTTCCAATAAACTGGAAAGACTCGGGAGTTGTTCTTCTGTTCTCATTGTCTGAACTATTTGGTGGAAACATTACCTTGAACTTTTCTTTCAAGCTCAAAACTCACTGAGCAACGTGTAAAGGCCAGGAGTCTCGCTTATGATGACTGAGAAAGATGCAGGTGGTGATGATGGTAGTGATAGTGGTGACAGTAGTGGTGGTAGTTGGGTGGTATTGGTGATGGTCGTGGTGGGGGTGGAGGTAGTTGCGATGGTGGTGGTGGTGGGGGTGGAGGGGGTGGTGGGAAGGAGATAGTGGTGATGGTGGTGGGGGGGGTGGTGGTGGTGGTGGTGGCGGGGGTGGGGGAGGTGGTGGTGTGTGGTGGTGGGGGTGGTGGTGGTGGTGGTGGCGGGGGTGGTGGGGAGGAGATAGTGGTGATGGTGGTGGTGGGGGTGGTGGTGGTGGTGGTGGTGGTGGTGGTGGTGGGGGGTGGTGGGGAGGAGATAGTGGTGATGATGGATGCAGTAATAATGATACTTGAGGTGGCGGTGCTGATGGCCGTTGTGATGATGGAGGAAAAATAGTGATGGAAGCCATAAAGGCGACGAAGCAGATATTGACGATGGTGGTAAAATTAATGGTGATGAAAGGAGTTGTGGTGATGGTGACGATAGTGGTATGATAGTACGTACCTAAGAGAGCATGCAAACCAGAGCTTCAGCTTCAGGCTGCCACCTTTCCAGTTGCAATATCTGCTGTTGAAAACAAGAACGAACGCAGCTTCTATAAGTTGTACTTATGGTTCGTTGTTATTGGTAAGTTTCCTCTCCGTGGAGAATGTAATTCCTCACAGGGGGGGGGGGGATTGTGTAAAAACCTGGTTTGTGCCTCGGAGAGGCTACGGGATCCAGTAAGTTCAGCAGAACTTCGGTTTCAACCCTTTTAACCCTGTCGTAGCTCAGTCGATTAAGGCAGTGTCTGGGATGCTCCCGGATGCAGGTTCGAATCCTCGTCACGGCCCTTGTGGATTTGTTCATGCAATTCCTCACATTATTTTGGTCATCTCTGTGTCATTATAGCAATGAACTGTGATGTTCAAGGGGATTGTTCAACCTGTCGTCCTACAAAGCACGTCGCTTTTTGCTCGTATGCGTTACATAAGACCAAAAAACTGTCGTACTAAAAATTGGAAGCAGCACGCGAAAGAGACATAATGTCCCGTTTTCTGTTTTGGGTCCTCTGGTAAGTTAGGAGAGGACACTTTAAATTGACGGCTTTCTTGACGCTGGAAACCTTAGGAGGACCGACTGGATTGTTATGGTAGTAGTGATGGCGGGGATGTTGATGGGGAAGTGTTCAACAACAACAACAATAATAATAATAATATTATAATATATTATTATAATAATAATATAATAATATAATAATATAATAATATAATAATACAATATAATAATAATATAAAAATAATATTATAATAATAATAATGACGACCAGTGTTGAGATGTGACACAGCGAGAGAAGCAAGCCACCAATTAGTGGCGTCCTGGGTAGTGAGGACGCTCACTGAACCCAATAAATCCCACTTGTGAGAGAGAGAAACATTTACTTGCTGGCTGGTCCCTCGTCAGGTCCTGCTGGGAGGAGCTTTGTGCAGGTCGTGAGGCTGGAAGGTAAAAATGTTCAAAATCATTCAAGAAGGTAAAAAGCATTCCTTTATAGAAAGCTATGGCGCTCCGCCCTCGCTACGAATGGCGCTTTACAGCCGTTTTATGGTGCCTTACATCACAGGTTATTGTCTGCCAAACATGCGTATACATGCGAACGAGCCTGAATGGTAAATATACATGTATACATGTGTATACGTGTTTATGCTCTTTCTCGCCCTTTCACCTCACATTCTTAGCTTGCATATATATTAATTTCTATACCACGCTTTAAATGCTATATAATTGTCATGGCTTATAGCGCTCTCTACTAATAATTACCTTCCCGCTTTCACATTTTTTTCTAATACGATTTGATAATGGTCCATGACGGACCGAAACGTCCTCACTATATTTATCAGATGTGTCGTTTCGGTGCCTAACTTTCAGCCAAGTTATTGTGACTTCTTGTATGCAGAGCTTATAAATCATTTTCAAGGAATCACGAGAAACAATTTCCAACTATCTGTTGTCTTTGCGGTATTTTTTTTCCGATAATAAGATTTTGGGATCAGCACAGTTGTTTATAGACTTTCCAATATAAGTTGGACGTACGTAACCAGCCTTTCTTATGGCGTTTGTATCAAAGTTATGAACTCGATAGAATGTTAGTTACATTTGGAGTAAATATAAATGGTGTAGATCATTATTTCTAGCAATTAATAGCTTTTTGGGGAAGAAGAAGAAGAAGGACGGCAGGAGAACCGGAAAGAAAATAAGAAATTTTAATGATAAAACAATGACAAGGAGAAAATGAAATGGTGAAGAACTAGAGAAAATAAGATGAAAGGGAGAGAAGAGAAGCGGGCGGAGAAAAGGAGAAAATGTTTAGAAGAAGAGAAGCTGAAGATAGCGGGAAGAGAGGAGGGGAAATAAAGGGGAAGAAGGGTGGAAAAGAGCAAGTTTGGGGAGGACGTAACAGAGGCAGTGAGGAAAACGAAAGAGGAGGTTGATTAAAGGCGCTGATTAATGGGCCCAAAACCCCCCCATCCCCATCAGGGAGGCTGTGGGCGTTGATGGGTTAACATAACATGGTCCCTACACTCACCTGATACACGCTCACCTGATACACGCTCACCTGATGCACGCTCACCTGATGCACGCTCACCTGATACACGCTCACCTGATACACGCTCACCTGATGCACGCTCACCTGATACACGCTCACCTGATACACGCTCACCTGATACACGCTCACCTGATACACGCTCACCTGATGCACGCTCACCTGATACACGCTCACCTGATACACGCTCACCTGATACACGCTCACCTGATGCACGCTCACCTGATACGCTCACCACACGCTCACCTGATGCACGCTCACCTGATACACGCTCACCTGATGCACGCTCACCTGATACACTGATACACGCTCACCTGATACAACGCTCACCTGATACACGCTCACCTGATACACGCTCACCTGATACACGCTCACCTGATACACACGCTCACCTGATACACGCTCACCTGATACACGCTCACCTGATGCACGCTCACCTGATACACGCTCACCTGATACACGCTCACCTGATACACGCTCACCTGATACACGCTCACCTGATGCACGCTCACCTGATACACGCTCACCTGATACACGCTCACCTGATGCACGCTCACCTGATACACGCTCACCTGATACACGCTCACCTGATACACACTCACCTGATACACGCTCACCTGAGCTTTCACAACACAGAATATAATCAGAAAGCAAAACAAGGATTAAAATGAAAGAAGAAATGAATAATGAAAAAGTGAAAAGAAGGCAGATAACTGAGAAAGATCAAGAGGCAAGATTGGTCTATAATATTCACTGTATTATATTATAAACAACTAGTATTGTCTATAATAGTCTGCTTTCCTTCCCTGGACGGAGGACAATATAATCGGAGGAGACGTTGTCACGTAAATGCTTCCATTTCCCTATAATACAATGAACACTTAAAAAACAATATGTTGTATAATATTCCTACTTAATTTGATCTTATCACTATTATACAGTATTATCTACCAAAAATTCACACCGGTAAACCGGTTTAAGTTTACAATGAAATACTATTTGCGCAAATAACCTCTCTTTTTTATTT